TATTTGGTGGTACTTTCATTATAATACTCCGAGTTAGCAGTTTTTGGACATTTACATGGAGGCTGCATGACAATATTCCCCTCATCAGGAACTAGAACTTCAGTAGCAAAGTGTTAAATAATGTCAAGTGGCTCACACTGAAGTCCACACAGGCTTTTGGTTCTGAGACTTGAAAGGCTGGATCTAAAATAGATCAGACTAAAATAAAAATGTAATTGAAAGTTTCAAATGCAAATCATAATATTGTTTAATACCCAACGGGGCACTGGCCTTATTGATAAAAAAAAAAGATAGGGCTATTGAGAATTCAGTGGCAAACCACCATCTTGGAACTTTTTTCAAGGGCTAACAGAATTCAGAGAAGAGTGCCACTGACTCTTCTGACAGTCATGACAGACCAGATTGGAATGCCCAGTAAGGCAGTTTATCAGAAAACAAGGTCTAGGAAGGGCCATGAAACTTTGCTGCTTTAGTTCATGTCATTCTCTCTACCTGGGATGTCCTCCCTTCCTCAGTCTCCACCAAAAAACCTCCATCCATCTTTCAAGACCCATCTCAATTATGATCTCTGGGAAGTCGCTCTCTTTCCCCACCTTCAGAGCATGATTAATTTTAGAGTGCATTATGCTTTGTGAGCACTTTGAACAGTCTGTCCTTTACATCATGAGTTATCTGTCTTCCTTCCCCCCTGTAGACAGTGTCCTGCTAGAGAAGAACCCAGTCTTAGTCATCTTTGTATCCCTAGGGCCTGACTTGTGGTCACTCAGTAAGGATTTGATTGATGGATAGATGAATGAATGGATGAGGCTGGAAAGAAGTCAGATAGTTAAAATTTCTCTAGTATCAAACAAAAGGGCTAACATAAATGTTCAGTAAATAAGTTTGGAATGGAATCAGAGATTCAATGCCTAATTGGAAATCACTATACTTGTAAAAGATTTCCATGTTGCAATTTCTTTCTTTATGAAACAGAAATAATGATAGTGTAACCACCTGAAAATCCTTCACTGTAGGTATTGGATTAATCTTCCATAACCACACCCACACCCATCAATGAAGTCTTTGATTTCTAGAAAGAAACAAATAATGAAATGAATCCTGGTCCTGTGCCTTGACCAAAGTGTTATCTATCAGAACAGAATTTAAATAAGTCAATGAACTAACGTTAACATATCCTATAACAAGCAAATAAATGATAGTATATTCTGCTCATGAAGTTGCTATGAAAAGTTAAAGTAAATTTCACCTACACTAAAGTTATTTTCCCTCAGGATCAAAGTTTGAGAAATGAGAATTCCTTTAAGTCTTTTCTACTTATTGCCTAATTATACACCTAGATATTTCTACCGTATTTCAGAAACTCTAGTTCTAATTTTTATAATTAAAAAAATTACTCCTTTATCCTGAGCACATGTTTCCAATAAGATCTTCAAAGGCCTTGTTATATAAGATTGGCTTTCAACAACTACCTTTCCCCATAGAAAAAGATTAGATATTTCAAGTTTTTTAGAGAGATAAAGCTGGTACGTGCCACTATCCCTGCCCAAGAGCTGGCATATGTGGGTTGGGTTCTTTTACTATTTTACCGGAAGGGTATAATAACTTACGTGGAGTGAAATAAGGAGCCGTCCTTTTCTAAGTAGCCTTCATAGTGGACCAACATCAAATCCCCTCCTTTGGTCTTGCGATGGCAGATGAACGGCTTCTGGAGAACTTCAATCTTCACTTCTGGTTCTGGGATGAGAGCCCCACTCAAACAAGTTACTAACAGTGTCAGGACTGCATTCCACAAGAAAAGCCTCATGTTGCCAGGGCAGGAAAAAAGTTGCTACAAAAACACAAAAAGGGCCCCCGACCTCATAGAGTTAAGAAAGTAGTTGAAGACTTAAAGACAACAGCCTCTGGCAAGTCATGACTCCCCCTTTCCTAGCAGACGTGGCACATTCACCAGGGACAACTTTCCCACGCTTAGCGAACTCACCTCTAAAGAGTTAAGCCCAAACGCTGCCCTGACTGGCGCTTACAACGCAGGCTCCTGGAAAGACGGCCTCCCATTGGCTTGTGATTCTGTCCCTCAGGAGCCTCTTAAGCCAATGGTGTCACAGTATTGCAATTTGCAGTTCCGCTGAGGGGAGGTAGCGCAGAAACAAACCACCCGGTGTGGTCCTGAAGGCCCGGGGATTACAGAATTCCACAATTTAGGAATTGGAGAGAGGGGTGGGGAGCAAAGCTAACCGGAAACCTCAGACAGATTCAGAGGTGTAAAGAATCCGCAGGGGTGTGAAGTCCTGGGTCCAGGGGAAATGGCACAGGTCTCAGGAAAGACTCCTTTCGTCTCACGGTTGGTGAGAGAACCCGCCCCCTTCCCCCCAAACCCCCGCACACCCAAAAGTATGGTAAGTGGGCTTCCGAGGTGGAGCAGTGGTAAAGAATCTGCCTGCCAGTGGAGGAGACGCTGGAGACTCGGGTTCAATTCCTGGTTGGGAAAGATCCCCTGGAGTAGGAAATGGCAACCCACTCCAGTATTCTTGCCTGGAAAATTCCATGAGCAGAGGAGCCTGGTGGGCTACAGTTCATGGAATCGCAGAGACTCAGGTGACTGGGCACGCAGGCATGTAACAGTGATTTAGGTTTCAGAGTGCTTTCCGGTTCTTCGTGAACCTCACTACTCTGTGGGTAAGGCAAGTTCTTTTATCCCTCTAAAAGGTAAGTTAATATTTTGGCTAGGAGAGGTTAAGTGTCCTGCTTAAGGTTATTGAGCCCCAAAAGCTGTTGAGCTCCATCATCGAACCATCTTCTGATTCATTCTACAACACCACATAATATTATGATCACAAATAATTTTAGATGACCTTAGTGTAGAGGGTCAATAATGAGAAAAGACCCTGCTGCTGGGAAAGATTGAAGGCAGAAGAGGGCAACAAAGGATGAGATGGTTGGATGGCATCATCGATTCAATGGACATGAACTTGGGCAAACTCTGGGATATGGTGAGGGACAGGGAAGCCTGGTGTGCTACAGTCCATGGAGTCCCGAAGAGTCGGACACAACTTGGCCACTGGACAACGAAAGTGTAGAGGGTCAATAATAGCCTCTATTAAGGATAAGGATGTACAGACCTCTGTTTTAAAGTAGAAATAGTAATCAGAGTTATGAATTACACAGGCTAAGTTTAAAGATTTTGTTTTACATTTTTTGCATAAGTTCAAAAGCAATACTTGTTCATTGAAACTGACTTGGAAGAAACTGGAAAACACTTGAGTTTCCAGTTAAAATACAGGAGTCACAGCATAGTGCTCTGTGACAACCCATCTGTGGGATGGGGTGGGAGGTGGGAGAGAGGTTCAAGAGGGAGGGGATATGCATATCAGCTCAGTTCAGTTGCTCAGTCATGTCTGACTCTTTGTGACCCCATGAATCGCAGCACGCCAGGCCTCCCTTTCCATCACCAACTCCCAGTTTACTCAAACTCATGTCCATCGAGTTTGTGATGCCATCCAGTCATCTCATCCTCTGTGGTCCCCTTCTCCTCCTGCCCCCAATCCCTCCCAGCATCAGGGTCTTTTCCAATGAGTCAACTCTTCCCATGAGGTGGCCAAAGTATTGGAGTTTCAGCTTCAGCATCAGTCCTTCCAATGAACACCCAGGACTGATCTCCTTTATACCTATGGCTTATTCATTTTGATGTATGGCAGAAACAAAAACAGCATTATAAAGCAAGTATCCTCCCATTAAAAACAAATAATTAAAAAAAAAATACAGGAGCCTAATTAAATTTGAATTTCAGATAAATAGCAAATTAATTTTTCTGTTTTTATTTGTGGACTCTGGCAACAGATTTTGCAAATAAAAGGTTTTATTTAATTCTTTAGATTACACTAAAGAAAAAGAAAAAATCTGTAATGCCACCATGCAGAAATAGTCATCAACATTTTGGCACATGGTTTTGTGACTTATGCCCAAAATAATTAGGATCCTACTGTACACTGTTTTGTAACCTGCTTTTACCACAGAATCTATAGTTAACATTTTCCCTAGTCAAATATCCTTAGCACAGAACTTTCTCACACTTTAATATGCATGGGAATCCCCCCTGGAGATCTCCTTCTGGAGTTTGCCGCCTTGCATCAAGATCCTACGTTCAGACAAGTTCCTAGGGGCCTTCAGTGCGACTGTGCACGGACCACACTTCGTGCAGCGGGGGTTTCAGAGTTTAAACGTCTGTTTGTGCTCCCTGGTCACTCGCAGTATTCTATAGTGAAATTCCCATCATCTCCTTACGCCCTGTGGTTGGGTATCCCCTCAATAGCCTTGAAGTGTGTAGGATCAATTAGCCTTGAAATAAGAGGCTCTGAAGACTAGAATCCAGCGGGCACTCTAAGGGGCCACGGTGGCTCCCAAATATCGGGAGGTGGAACCCATCTAAGGTACCGCAGAGTCAAGACTGTGTTCCCCTTTGTCCCAGAGGCCTCCCTACTCCCTTCTCACCCTCCCTCTAGTCCCAGGACTCTTTTTCCCTGCGGGCCTCTTTCACTAGGTCAGCCACGCCGGTATCTCAGCTAAACCCCGGAGTGGATTTTGGGATCCGGCGCGCAGGCGGTGCACTGGGCATGCGCGAGCGGGCCCTGAGCCCGGTGGGTCGAGCACTCAGGTAGCGCGCCGTGGCGCGGCCAGCGACCGGCTACTTCACTCGCGACACTTTGGTGACTTCAGTCGCCCCTCGGACCCATCCAGGACCTTGGCCTCCTTGAGAACAGCGCGCCGCCTGTGGCGCCTGGGACCACCGGCCGGCCGCGTCCTCACGTGCGGAGGCCGCCGCAGTGACCCCGCCCCCGGGCCCAGGATGTGAGGCCCGTGGGGCGTCCTCGCACTGGGCCTGGGAGCCGGGAGTGGCCGGCTCGGCAGCGCCGGGCGATGGCCCTGCTGCCGGTGCTCCTCGCCTCCTGGAGCCTGGAGCAGTGACGGGGCCGGCGGGCGAGGGCGAGGTGGCCGCGGGCGCCATGGAGGGGGTGCTGTATAAGTGGACCAACTATCTGAGCGGTGAGTGGGGGGCGTGCCAGGGTTCCAGTCCTTTGTCTGAGTCGAGGGAGGGCGGCGTCGGGACTCGCCTCTTGGGTGTCGGGGTCACGGTCTCTCCTGAGACCAGAGAGGCCTGCGTGGACCGGGAATGTTTCCCCGCGGCAGTTCTGTCTCCCGTGCGGTGCAGACACAGCCCCCTATGGGGCTGGGTGTGAGCGGCAGCTCTCCTCACTTCCGAATCCTGAGATTTGGGGTGACTTGAAAGGCACGATGTCCTCAGTGTCAGCGGGAGGGAAATGCTGATTCCGGCTGTGGGGTCCTCTGGGAGTCTCGAATTCTGACGAAGGAGCTGGTCTCGGGAAGGTTTCAAATGAATGCGAGCAGAGGTCAAAGGTTCTTTTTCAAAGTCCCCAGGTACAGGCACTTTCCTTTTGTCACTTGCAGAGTTATCTGAGTGCAGACCGGGATATCTGACTCTCAGCTCCAAAGTATGCGCGTTTTTGGTTTTCTCACCGAACATTTCTTTTTGTTTTACAGACTCGGAAATGACCGTAAAATAGGATGCAAATGTTAGCAGCTCTTTTCTTGCCCTGCTGAACAGAATGGCTTAAAAATAGAACCCCACCCCCTTTCCAGTTTATGGAAGTACTTCATATCTTGAGAAGGTCATAACTATTTTTCAGCTGTGAATATGATTCAGAAGGAGCATTTTCATAAATGAGTATATAAATAAAAGCCTTCTGTGCGCTGGAAACTGTGCTAGGCACTTTTTTGAAATTAAACTTTTTATTATGGAAAATGAGGTAGGCAGGCTCTTAGCGTTTTAACAGCAATGTATTTGAAATGAGAAATATTCCCAGGGATTCTTAAGTGGTGGAGGTGTATTTTCCCATCCTGTGGAGCCTAGGATTTTTTTTTTTAGGGTTGTAGTATGATTCTCTGGGGTGTTTTGAGGACGTTTGTGTCTGGGAGGATCAGTTGGCAGTAGTGAGTTTGATGAGGTTATAAAGCACAGCTGAAAGTGTGCCTGTTGGGGGTACCCAGAATCTCTTCCCTATGCATAGTGTGATTAAACGTGAATTCTGTTTATTTTTCTTGTGATCATTAGTAGAAACTGAGTGAGGAGAAGTGTTTTATTTTATTTATTTTTTTTTTGAGAAGTGTTTTAGAAGACTTGCTCTTTGCTTCAAGATCTTCATTTGATATATTAGATGTAGATACCTCATGACTGGGTTTGGCTGCCTGTTGGGGAGGATGTTTGATCAAGTGATTTGCCTCAGAGGTATCTCTAAGCTCTGAGATGTAGGATCTTATGCCCCTGAGAGAAATAAGTCACTGGTCTTGGTTCTTTCACCCCTTTCCATTACACATGCCTTTTAACTTATTTCTTTGCTCCTCAGTGCTCTTCTTTTTTTTTCCATCTCCCTTTTCCCTCTTTTCCCCCCTCTCCTTTCTTGCTTTTCTGCAAGTTTACGTCTTTTACCAAGTTTAGTCTGTTGTTACTGTACCTACTTCCTGCTCATGAAATGCCTTTTTCCCCCTGACTGTCTTTATGTATTCTTCAAAAAAGCTAAATTTCTCTGGAAGAATCTTTGGAATCTTTATCATATGGTTCCCATACCATCTGTTCTGTTGGAAAACGTCTACTTTTTTCTGCCCCAAGTGAGAGAAGTTAATTTTGTGAGTGATGCCCTCGTGGTGGAAGCCCTAAAGAAACGAAACACTGGAGCCATTGCCAGTGGCTGGCTTTACTTTATTCTGCTTGTTCCCCTGGCCCACAAGCCACCTCATTGTGGACGCACTGTGCATAAAAGCCCATCACACCGTGGGGGACTTTTTCTGGGTATGTATGTGCGTGCATGCGTGTGTGCACACTCAGTTGTGTCTTTGCAACCCCATAGACTGTAGCCTCCCAGGCTCCTCTGTCCATGGAATTTTCCAGGGAAGCATACTGGAATGGGTTGCCATTTCCTACTCCAGAGGATCTTCCTGGTCCCAGGATCAAAACCGCATCTCTCACTCACATCTCCTGAGTTGGCAGGCGAATTCTTTACCACTGTGCTACCTGGGAAGCCTTCCCTAGGTATATTTAAAATTACTGTCCAGTGTATTCTGTTTCCTCAGGAGATACATTTACTCTGGAAAGGAATGGTAACAATCTAGGCGAAGCAAATGCATCCTAGTTTCTTTCCTCACCTGTGCAAGTTAGTCTCTCCAAAAGCAGATAGTGTTGAGTGTTAATGACAAGCGCTAATGAAGACACCATTAATTTTCTTTTCCTGAAGCTTTTTTTTTAAATAACATTTTTTTTCTTATGGTTTTGCACATAGTAATTTAAAAATACATGTAATATCTGTCTAAGTTTTTGTTCATTTTGAATTTTTCTCCAAAGAGAATACTTAACCCATTTGTGTATTTCTGTCATATCTACAGCTTGATACGGGATACCTTGTTTCCAAATCTGAGTGGAGAATTAGCAAATCAGTTTATCACCCAGTCCTTTGAATCCTTGGAGGATGTTGTTAATTTCGTTCACCAGTTGCTGTGTGCTGGGCCCTGTTCTGGGCACAGGGCAAGCAGTGTTAAGACACTGTTCCTGCCTTTCTTAAACTTACAGTCTGGTGGGAGGGAGACAGGCAGGCATTCATTGGATAAGTGGTTAGAAGCAGGTGCTCAAGTGTGTGTGATTTGAGAGGGGAGGAAGGGATAAGCAAGTCTGGGTCATTGGGGAAGGCTTCTTTTAGGAAAATAGCTAAGCAGAGCCTGAAGGATAAATAAAAGCTGAGTAGGTGGTGAGGCCAAGGCAGAGGTGCAGTTGGAGGCTGTAAGGGGAAACTTTTTAGGCACAGAGAATGTCAGTGTGAAGGCCTTAAAGCTGGATAAAGACTGGTGAGTTTAAGGAAAGAAGACCCAAAAGTCTGGTGAGTTGAGAAGAGGCTCCAACAAGACTGTGGAGATGGGGGGCAGGCCTGAAATTGCACGTCCTCATAGGCTGGTTTAAGCACTGCAGAGTGATTGTTCATGCACATGTGTGTGTGTGTGCGCACGCACACATGTGCGAGTGTGCATGTGTAAGTAAGAAAGAAATGATGAGATTGTTTAAAAGCTTATTTTGGCTACTTTGTTGTATTTTTCCAAATACTGTAGTTATTTTGTGAGCTTCTCTCGCCTCTTGAATTAAACTGTTTAGGTTTCAGTTACTGAAAGTTGTAAACATCCATCAAGACCTCAGAATAGCTGTGTCTTAATTGCTTGCATGAGTGTACTTCTAAAATACAGAAAGAGAAAAGTCTCTTTTCCCTAATATTTTAGGCACACTCAAGTACCCTGTGCTCCATCAGAGAAAAGGAGAAAAGGAAAAGAAAAGGAGTGGCTATGTATTTTCTCTAACATTCTTGAGCTACCCAGTTTTGAGCAGGAGAACATTGGATATTCTGGGATTTAGTGTCCAGCCCTATCTTCACATATTAGAGGATTAAACCTGAAATGGAAAGGGAATGGATTAAACATTTCACAAACATCTCTACTGTGTGAGACATAATGCTAGGCCATTGTGAGTTTGTTATTTGTGTCTTTCAAGCCCTAAACGTTACTCGAGGGGTATTATACCTGCTTGGTTATTCGTTAATGCTCCATAGTAGAACACTAGTTGAGGAGTCAAAGAAACCTGAAGTCTGGTGCCAGCTCTGTCACTGCCCGGTGCAAAGTCACTTTATCATTCTGAGCCTTAATATCTTCCTCCATAAGAGTGACGAGATTTACCCATTAATAATTGTAACAATAGTAAAAAGACTTAATTTTTCTGATGTTCCAGACACTATTCTAAACATTTTGCACAGATTAAGTTACTTAATCTTTGCAGCAATTTTAGGAAACAGTTGACTTTTTTATTTCCAGATGAAGACATTGAGGCAGAGAAAGATGGGGGAAGGAACTGGCCCAAGGTTATAGAGTTAGTAAGTGACTCCAGCGTCAGTGCTCCATTCATTACATAATACTTGTAAAGGTCCTTCCTGCTTGGTCATTATATAATTCTAGCTGATTCATAATGTACCTATATTTAAAGTATGTTGACCTAGAATAGCAGACTTTATTTGGGAATGGGAGGTGGGGACGAGTTTGGGAGCAAGGAGGACTGTGCCTGGTGTTGTGCATGTGTTTTGTCACTGAGAAATTTTCAGAACTGTGCTCTGTGCTTTCTGCTTTCAGTTTTAGTTTGCTTTCCTGCCCACTCAGCACACAGGAGGGCTGCTGTCATGAGCTCTAGCCAGCTGCAGGCTTCTTGGGCCCCTCCAGTGCGTTACAGCACAAGCACATTGCAGTACTGCATTCCAAAAATAACAGAAGCTTGCATCGTGCTCACCAGATGATTGTCTGAGAAGGTGCTATAGTTTTGCTTATCCCCCCAGGTAGAAGGTGACTCTTGTCCATATATGTTTGTGTTGGGTAGACAGTACTAAGAAGTCATCTGAAATGTGAGTGATCCAGACCATGGGCTCACAACCACTAGTCAAGCTTTTTTGTTGTAATTATTTTTAAATATCTTTACCAAGATATTAATTAATCTATCATGAATTTCACCCATTTAAAGTATACTCATCAGTGTTTTTTAATATATTCACAGAGTACAACCATCACCACAATCAATTTTAAAACATTCGCCTTATCCCGAAGAGAAATACCTATTAGCGACTGTTCTCACCCCACCCCCTCTTGTCCTTGGCAGCCACCACGGTTGTATACACTTGCCTGTCTGTATAAATTTGTCAATTCCAGACATTTCATATAAATGCAGTAAATGGAATCATACATTTTGTGGTCTTCCTTTACCTAGCATAATGTTTTTTTGCTAGGTTCATCAATGTTGTGGCGTGCATCAGTACTTTATTCCTTTTTATTAAGAAATAATATTCTACTATATGGAAATATAATTTTGATTATCCACTCATCCATTGATGAACATTTGGATTGCTCGTTTTTTTGGTTAATATGAGTAATGGTGCTGTGATTTGTGAAAATTT